ATATCAAAAAGCACATAGTCATTGTGTTGCAACTTATGTGTGCAAATGACAGTAATATAATTTGTTGTTTTCATTCCCCGCAACTAAACACCCATGCTAGGAATATGTTATGTTCATTCAATTAGATCATGGAAGAAAGCTGGAGCATAAGACAATTCATTAGTGACTTGAGGAAGAAAAGGAAATTTTGTTTTTGAGTTTATTGACTTTTGTATGTTTTGATGTTGTATCAGACAGTATAATGGTAAAGCAATGAAGATATATTTTAGCATTGCTAAATTGGTGTAGCTGAACATCTATAATCTTCTGTAGTTAGTTTGTTATATTTTTGTCCCACCCTTCTTTAGAACTGTGTACATAGGCTAGCATGTATGAAACTAAATTAACTTTTGTTAAGAAAGTAACTCAGTGGTCTGTGGAAGTCCACTAGAGGATCTGCTGCAGCCTCCCCACATACATGGGTCAAAGCCTACCACATATAATCCAGGAGAAGGTGAATGAAATCTTTGAAGTACTATGTATCACCTGTTAAAAACCCAAGAGCATTGCAGGATTAGATTAAAGGATCTTCTAAGTCAGTATCCTAATTCCCACTTTTGCGAACCAGGTGCTCATGGGAAACCCCAAAGCAAGACACGAATATAAGAGCAGTCATCTGCTTATATTTCCCAGCAACTGGTATATTTTATATCAAGTAAAAATATATTAAACAATAAATAAAAAGATAGATAGATAGAAAGATAGAAAGATAGAAAGATAGAAAGATAGAAAGATAGAAAGATATATAGAAATGGTCAGTAGTCAGTACTCTTAGGTACTGCATTTAGGAAATTGCCACTAAAGTTCTTTTAACTGCTGGTCTGGAATAAAACTCAAATCTTTTCAGGTACTGGAGTCACTGCAAAAATGTATCCATTCACAATAGAGGTGAAGGCGTCTCTCGCTTAGTTATGATTATGTCAATTCAAATGTGTTTGCATTGACTGTGATCATTTTAATGACTCATTACATGGACAAAAGCTTTCAGCTGCCCATTCGTCTCCCCCCAGTTACATATTAATTAATTGCAAGCAGTGATTTCCAAATAATGGAGTGACAGAGTGTGGGAAAGCTGTGGTTTTGGAAGAAACTGTGACACGAAAGATACTAATTTAACAACTGAAATGTCAAAATGAGCTCTGATCTATCTTATTAGTCAGATATCTTTGGCGGTTTTGTTTTGTTTCCTTAAAAACAAATGGGCTATTAGATTAGCTAGTCTTCAAATTTATTCTGGAAAAACTTAATGTTCCTTGGAAGATTTTTAGGGGCTGGCAAAAGAGATCAAAATCTTGATACTGAGAGATGCCAAGCCCTCCAAACTTAAACTATCTGCTTCCTATTATAATTTTTTTTCTCCCCTGCAGTAAATAGAATCATCTTTTTTCACTTGAAAACGTATGTGTATTTGATAAACTGAGTAGGTCTATTTCACTTTTAAGATTATGCATTTTATTGGAGCAAACAAGCAATGTTGCAGTAATGCTATTCAGGCAACAGATTTTAATTACTTGCTGTCATGTGGTCTATAAAATCTTTCATCATTCATTTAAGCAGGACACAGAGGACTGTGGAAGTGCATGCGGCAAAATATTACACAGCATGTAAATTAATTTGGGAAGATTGTTCAGATTCTGCAGACCACTGCATTCTAGAAATTCTTTCCGTGGGAGGTTTGTGTTTGCTGCTTATTTCCATGCCTTTCTGAAAATTGTCAGCACTGGTTTTCAGATGTTAATAACTTGTTCTCTTTGCAATGAATAACCAGTCCTTAAAAGCAGAGCCGCTTCAGAGGCTCAGACAACAGGAATACAATGGCTTGCTTGCAAATTATTGTGTAATTGAGTGCATTTAAATTACACTCCTATATTTTAAGTCATGATTTTGAATATTTATGACTGGCAGTAAACAAGATGAAACTAAAGGCCCAACCCTGGAAGGCTGAAACTTGGTAAAGGGGTAATTGATTCTCCCCCCCCCCCGGTCATCTTGAATTTTGTAGTCTTTTTATGT